CCAGAAGCAAGAGCAGTACCGAGGCTCCTGCAGCGCGTGCGGACGCCATTGGGGGATGTGCAGATGGTTCGACGATACCAGCGACGTCTTGACCCCCTGAGCGAAGCTGGCATCGCACACAGATTGATAAAACCAAAACACAGACATGCAGGATGTGACAAGGATGTCGAAAATGCACAATAGTGAGTAGGCCAAGCAGCTGCGAAGCATTATAGAGCTCACTGCCTAGTTTCCACTGCTTTCTGCAATAATTCAGAAATGAACAATTCAGCTAATGCCACATGATGTACATTTGTCCTAATATTGATATAGACTAGAAAAATGCCTTTGCACTAAACACACTGGTTGTAATGTTAGCTACTTCTTATTTTTTTTCTTTTATTGCATAATTCTTTCATTGTTGACTCAAACTGTACATCTACAGTATCGTTTCCCTGCAGCATACAGTAATATCAACCTCTTGCATAACATTACAGTTAATTTAAATGCTTATTAAGTGCATTTTTCCGAGTATATTGCCATCCTTGTTATAATATAGTGCAGACATATTCAACTAAAATGCCCACAACAACACGAGGGAGTGACTACAGTGTCACTTAGATTTCTCAGTCGTTTCTCAGCATCTCACTCTATTCTGTTAATCGGCAGAACATTCTAAGCTGTTTCTCTTCTTACAACTTATGTGTTGTTGTCAGATACGTCCAGCTCCTAGGGAACAGCTTGTCCTTCACTACTGCTTTTAAATGCTTCTAAAGATAACTTCTACTGCCCCCTGCAAGGTGAACAGCTTGATTTCACCCATGAAAAAAGATAAACGTATATAGATTTGCTGCAGTCAAACCGTTTTACTGCAAGAGACCCATCAAAGAGCTGCTGATACTCACAGATTAAAAAACAAACCTCCTCATTCTTGCAAGCATGATCAATTAAATGCAGATCACAGGACAAATATTACTGTCACTGATTTTACATGGATAGATTTTTGTCATGTGTTTACAATGCTAAACACTATATGCCTTTCAGTTCATGTACCTAATATGTGTGTACATTTTAAGGCTTAAAACCTCAGATGTCTTGGATCGGGTCCTTGTGTTGCTCTTCTCTGTGTTCCAACTCAAGCAGTCAATTAAACAACCAAATTATTTTCTAAATTGGACATATATAGGATTTTTCGTAAAGTCTTTCACAGTTGATAACACAAGGCATTCACTTCAGGTACAGTTATCTATAAATCTCCTCAGAGCCTGGTTAAAAGTAATGCAATTATACAGCAAATTAAATAACTACACCAGCTATGTAACAGAGAATGTGACTGGAACAAGAATCAGAAGCCAAGGCAGGAATCACATTTGAGACCCCTGTTATAGATGGGACTGTAATCTGCTCTTTAATCCAGTAATAAACACATTTTAATGACACCACTGTCCAGTTATTCTGCCTTCAAATGCTTTGAAATATTGGTATAAATATACTAGGAGAAAAACAATGTAGTAAAATATTTTTACAATTTACTCAATGCAGAGACAAGTTAAAATCTCATATTGACTGTATATTTCCTTCTCTTTGTTGTAGCAAATGCTGTCCACAGATGGATGGTAGGTTCAGTGCCCATGCCATGTTATCATGCCAAGGTTCTGTGCTCATTTGAATTGCTCTCAGGAACCACAACAAACATTAAGTCTTACTTCAGTAGGGCCTCTAACACAGATTTTGTCTTGCAAACTTGCTCCTTGCAAGTAAGCCCAAATAAAAGCTCTAGTTTCATTTCTTAAAAAAGGCCAAGTTACAGATTGCTAGGTACAGTATTACTCAATGATCATAAAATAAAACAATGTTGTTTTTTTATCCCTGATCAATTATAGTTTACTAAAACAATGAGGAAAATGGGATGACAACCAAGTGCCAGTATGATTTCAGTTTAATCAACTGCTTAATTATGATAAAAAGATGACACCAAGTAAACTGCTTGTTTAAAATGCTTTACAGGAATAACTGAGCCACTCAGTATTTGAGAATCATTCATGTTACAATAGCAATATAAAAAAACACTGGGAAGACAGTTCCTATTGTTTCCAGGCAGCGGGTGCATTTCTCCTATCTTGGGCAATAGGATTTATAGCTTTATTACACTGATAAATGCAACCTTATAAACAAGCTTCCCAGACACCACAGCCAGAGTGAATCTAGTGCTTAATTCAAAAAGATATCACAGCTTTACAATCCCGTACCACAGATCTAAAACTAAAAAGCCCTTTTGTACCGAACCATCCACTGATGTTTGTACCACATTAAAGCTTCACGTCACGGTGGATTACACTGCTAATCTGGTGCAGGTCTGGAGTGACCAGACCCACCAACGTAACCATCAGCCAAGCTGTAGCTATGGGACTGAGAAGCAGCTCTACCTGGCATAGTGCCTAGGTGTGGAAAGCACATGTCTGTGGGGGGAAAACAAGATGGTGACATACTGCACTAAACAATATTGAGGCTAGATGCCGTCCCTGTGTGGATAGTTACTGATTAGGTTGACTCAACATAACGGAGTTCTCCTTTAATTTATGCATACTGTATGTAGCTTTGTGGTATGATCTTTTTGCACCTACTATCATATCAATAATCACATTTCAATGAAAGCCCCATTGTAAATCCACAATTTGAATTGAAAAACCGTAATAATGCCAACACAACGTAAAGCAGAATTCATGGTGTCAGTTACTTGTCTTACCTGTAAAAAGCTTGAGGTTTGAGGGTTCCACTTTTCCTCTGGTCTCCCATGCCAGGTGTTGAGAATACTTAAGCACACCTTCAAACACAATGAAAGGGAAACATGAGGATTCTTTCGTTAAAGAAACTGCAACAGTCATTTTTTCCCCCCACATTGTCATCTTAAATCTACCATGTGAGATTTGTAAGCCATGAAATAAAGGAACATCAGTGGCAATAATCCATGACCCTGTGTGTCAGGAGCACTAAAGCAACACAAACTAGATAAGATCAGATCACTTTATTGGCCATATCCACATTTTTGTATTAGGAATTTGTCTTATCGCGTAACCCAACTTGCTCTCCATGAGACACACAGACAGGGAGAGAAGCTGGGGGTCAGAGCGCAGGGTCAGCCCTGGATCAGTTGGGGTTAAGGGCCTTGCTCAGGGGCCCAGCGGAGTAGGATTCCTCTGCCGGCCGTGGGATTTGAACCCGCAACCTTCCTGCCACAGGCACAGATCCTGAGCCACAGAGCCACCGCTCCTCCAGAAAGTAGACGTCTGGAAAGTGGAAGACTGAACGGAGCCTTTCCCATGCAACCTACTACCTTGCCTTTCACGCGCCACTGTGTGACTGAAACGGGCCGCAGCCTCGCCTCAGATGTGTGGCGAACGACATGACTTACTTTTCCGTCGTTGTAGAGATTTGGGTTGAAGCGCACACTGTGTCCTCCTGTGGTCTCCAGGTTGACGAGGGGAGGTGAGTTTGGGTAGTCTTGAGGAAAATACACATCAAACTCAAAGCAACCATTTGCATAAGGGGTATCTGCAGGGCCAGTGATAAGAACCTGGAAGAGCACATGAAGAAAACAAACGCGCTGAACACTAACATTGCAAATTTTCAATCCAGGAATAAAAACAATGTTACTGCCTTCTTAACAAAAAGGCTCTCAAATTAAAACAAGACAATATTAATTATGGTTAAAGAAACACATTTTAATTCTTCTTCGATTAATCATCCTGTGGGGTCACAGCCACTCAGAATGCCATTAAACCCATAATTTAAACCCTGCAGTTGAAACAAATTACAAGAAATCTCATACTAATACCCTTAACACCCTTTATCAGCTGCAGTCTTTCCTCAGCCCTGCAATCTACCAAATAATTATAGAAGGAAACATTTTACATTGTCTTTGGTATATAGTATAGTTCTGAATAATAACTCATACTGAGATCATTCATCCCTTTTCTTACATGGTCTTGGTAAGCAATAGGCACAAGGCGGGACGCCAGCCCATCTCAGAACACACACTGATACTTTCCCAGAAGCCAGTTAACCTATTAATGTGTCTTTAGGTTGCGAGAGGAAAGCAGAGCGCTTGGGGGAAAACCGCTCAAACATGGGGAGAACATGCAGTACAAACTTCATGCAGATGGAAGGAAACCCGAGGCCCCAGGACTGCAAGGCAGCAATGCTAGCTGCACCACCACACCACCCAAACTGAAATCATGGAGGACAGTTTCTGTTTTAACCTGTCGGTTTTGGGCTTCCAGGACTCACAAACTACATGTGCATGTTTAGAAAGGCTGTATGTGACTGTAATGCATATGTTTGATTTCGCATTGCAAAGCAAGAGTCACCTACACCGTTTTGGCTAAAAAGGCGTGGCAGACACTATTCAACAGCAGGCCAGCCGCCTCTGTTTTATTTTGACTAGATTAGTCTTTTTAATGGAAGGTCTTTCTAGCTGTTTATCTACTATTGTGTCCAACAGAGAGGTCCTGCTTATTAAATTAATGGTGCATTTAATTGGTCTACCGCTATAATCAAATAGCGATATATAAAACTGATCAATATATTATTTTTTTCTGATATGTAGCACATTATGTATTGATGGATTTCAATATCATTTTGCACAGTCAAACTGTGTACCAGACGTGTTCATATATTCAGGATTCAGCAGACACGGCTCATGATTTTAGAAAGGCTGAGAAGTCCAGGGCCTTTACCTTCATTATGTCCAGCCTCTCCTCGTCACACCTCACGAAGACGCTGGAGGAAGAGGAGAGCGGCAGGGAGGTGGAGAGGGTGACGGCTTCCTGCGCGAGGCGGCGGGCACGGGCAGCACTGTTGGCGTCGCTGGCGTTCTTCACCTGAGACATGTAATGGTAATTCACTTTGAACACTAGCTTGCCGTCCTCGTCCTCAGAAACCATCTCAAAGGTGTCTGGAAAACAAAAAACAAGACAAAACAAAAAAAAAAAAAGGTTGTGCTTGGCTTGTGCATTCATCAAGGACTGTCTTTCCTCACTGCCCTTGGTTCCTGATCCCTTGTTAATCCAATTACTTGAAACCTCTCCTGCCTGCAAATTCAAGAGCGGGCGGCAGCTCGGAGTCCTGCAATCAAGCCGACGCGTGAATGACAAACGACAGATGTAGCAGCTCGCGATGGTCTGGCACCCGATCCGTGCAGCGCCAGATTTTCAGAGGGAATCCGGAATCCTGACACTTCTAAAGCTGTGGAGGATCAGAACAACGCCAGCCGTGGGGGACGGGGACATTTCCCACAGTTGTTCGCCACTTACCAAACTGCAGTTTCTTCATGGCAGCAACATATTTTTCCTCCAGGGAACGCAGAACTGAGAGCGGCTTAGGTCTGGCAGCTGTTTTCTTGGAAGATTCTGCCAGTTTTTTCTCTGTTATAAAAAACAAGTCCAACCAAAACCATTAGAGACAGACATTGTAAACAACTGGGTGACGCTGTGGTGGTCGATACAGTTGGCGTCTTTCAAGAAACGGCTAGGTCCCTAGATCAATTAGTTACTAGCAACCCGATGAGCTGGATGGGTTCAAAGTCTTCCTCTTGATTGTAAGCTTTATGCATTCAGTCTTGAGATGATGCTGCAATCTGCAATATCCACATAAAACCACAGCTTCATCACAAGAGCTGTGGTTCATATAGTGCACTCACTATAATTGAGTGCACCTTACAGTCTTATTTAAGGGAAATATATGAATACAGTACTAATTTACTTTACAAGCTTATTTGTAAATCATTTAACAAATCATCTGTTTCAATTTGGATGCTTCCTATTACAGTGAAACAGTGTTGCTAGTCACAGATAATGCAATTAAATAATGTGCTGCTGTAAAGCCTCTTTTCAAACCATTTTGTTTAAACCCAACAAAGCACATTTATTTGATACCAATGTCATGGCCAACCTCAGAGAAAATGCTGCTTAAACCTGGCACAACTGAATACACCACAAAACAACAAGATGTGTTCTTTTCTAAAAGTAATTCAAATTATCCACTTTATTTTGACTAGATTAGTCTTTCTAATGGAAGGTCATTCTAGCCGTTTATCTACTATTGTGCCCAGCAGAGAGGTTCTCCTTATCAGGTTATTGGTGCATTTAATTGGTCAGCCGCTATAACGAGAGATACATAACATTGATCAATAGATTAATTTTTTGCAGCACATTATGCATTGATGGATTTCAATATAATTTTGCGCAGTCATAAACTATGTACCAGATGTGTCAATCTGTCATTATTCAGCCGGCCACCACACTGTGAAGATGTGCTCATACTAGTGAAGCATCTCTCAGGAGGGAAGTTCACCACAAGTCAGCTTACACTTATGATATGGATTTTGCACCTCAAGTGCTGGCATATGGATATGTGGTTTTGTATCGCGGCAATCCCCAACATTTACTTACTTGCCACTGAGGGGCTCTGTGTTACAAACGACTGCAAAGCAAGGGAGGAAACTGATAATGTATGTAGTGCAGGGGGAGGGCAAGCTGTTTGAATCCAACAGCACACACTCATCAATGAGCAGCTCTTTATTCCCTGGTAGTAATGGGACACCTGGGCTTGCAGCACTGCATTGACGACCTGGTAATCTGGCTACAGAGCCAAAGGTATATACTGTCACCTTCAACAGTGCATTTGTTTCAGCAGATTATTAGACGCACAATTGATTATACTGTAAGGTGTCTTTTATTAATTAAGACTTTAGTCTGGTTTCGAGCTCTGTGCACGTTGCTCATTATGTTACAAAGAAAGACTGATTATGAATATCAAACAATTAAAAATATTACATGCTTAAAGAATATTGGTTTGCTTTTAATAAAAACAAACAGAGTCAAGCTGGTTTCAGCATAGAAACTTTAACAAATATTTAACGGTACTAAACATTTCCATCTAGGTGTTTTAATTCACCTGTATTAACCTTGTACCTTAATCCTGCATATCTTAAAATAACTAAATGCAATTTTTAAAGTTTTTTGTGTATTTGTTGTAGTTTCACCACACTACTTTTTTCAATTGAACTCTTGAGTCATGGTACTGTAAACGTTTCTTGTATAACAATTTGACAACCTAATGTTGGAATACTCCTTCTACATGAGTACATTCAACAGAGGTACTTTCAAGCAGAGTGACCTTTTCGGTCTTAAGTCATGCTATAATTACTGCACAATAATGACAACTTTTTAAATTAACTCTAAATTATTGTTAAAAGGAAGCACTCCTACCATATTTGAGCACTTCTTACTGTTTTTTCTAAGTGAGACCATGAAGTGCTAAATAATAAACACAATGGCCACTGTCCTGTTCAGTGATCAACTGCACTGTTCTTTCTTACCAATGCTTCTGGTAAAACCTCATCATTATCATCTAATCAAGACAATCGAGTTCTTCTGGTTCTGAAGTGAGATAATAAAGCAATACCCACTCCTCTGCTTCGATCAGATTCCCAGAAATGCTTTATTATGAATCATGAGCTCTACGAAGGGCTTGAAGAAAAGGCTCTGAATGACAAGATCATGGATAAATCAGGACTCGGCGAGCTCTGCACCTTGATGTGCCTGCCTCAGGCTGGTAGTAGCAGCGTAAACAATCTCTGCTGTCTTCTGGATGTCCGGTACCAGAAGAGTAAGGCCTTCTGGCTCAGGGTCTGACGCTTCTGCTTTCACAACCCCTTTGCTTTTATCTTTTTTAGACCTGTAAGAAAGAGTAACATCACTATTGTGCACAGAAGAAATAACCTTAAGCAAATTGCTGGCCGCTGGAAATTTCTCTGAACTGTCATGTGAGAGAACCCATTAGGAAGAACTCATGACCCACAAAAACAAGTTTCAGATGACTGTAGGTTCGGGTCCTAAAACTGCTGCTCTACAACTTTCCAATTGCAAAATTCCTGTAAAGTTCTCTTATTATTTTATCATTTAACTACAACCCTTTCCCAAACAAATGCTAAAAAATCTCTAATGAAACCAATCTCTGAAAGACCTTCACACATTTTTTGAATGAAGCTTCAAGCCTTTCACAGTAGTTTACATTATTCACAAAATATATGATTCTATAACTGAAATCTTTTGATCTGACTAGTAATTCATGCCAATTAATGTTTACATTTTCATTATTGAAACTGCTTGTGATGGTAAAAATTATGACCTTAATATGGTGTGTACTCTGTGTATGGATACCTTTGTTTGCTGCAAATTTCTAAAGTTGAATCTAAAATGATAGTTTACAATTCAAGGCCAGCACACTAGTAAGAAGCAAGACACAGTTCCCAAGTACCAAACAGGTGCAAATCAAATAGTTACACTTAAAAACCATTTGAAAGGTTTAAAAAATTCCTCTAATAAGTTCAAGTTTAGGAAAATGTTGTAAATGGTTCAGAGAAAATAACTTAAAAATCAAAACGAAGAGAATGTTCTGCAGAGATCTTAAAGTAACTCAAGATTCAAAGACAGAAAAAAAGAGTAAATGTAAAAGCACCACTGAAAGAAGATATCAGAATCAGCAAGAGTGAGATCAAAAACAATACGTAAACAGAGGCTACGCATAAGGCAAAGCATAGAGTAAAAGAATGGTTCAAGTTTAAGTAGTAGTTTTTGAGATTATGTAGAAGTTACATTACATTAAACAAATAGCAAATGTATGTAATTAATATTTCAATCGGGCTTTTACAAAAAATAGTTCAATGTCAACTACATAAATGCATCGGTACTGAGTAATTTTAGCATAAGTGACATTGAGATATTACAGGGCTTGGACAGCTTAAAACTAATAAATTACCATGGTCCAACAGTATTTTCCCAGTGGGTTTAAGGGGGGGGGAGGAATGTTATTCAAAGACCGTTAAGTGGGTTGTTTCAATTGTGAGTAAGAATGCGAACTGTATCCACAGATTGCATCATTGCAAATTTAGCACCAATTTAATTAAAAGAGACCGTCTTACTGTCCATCTGAAAAGGTGTGGAAATGTTAGAGTAACACAAGAAGAATATTGATTAAATAATGACATTTTAATGAGACACCAGCACACTTCACTGTCAGCTTCTTTCCAGTATTTAGCACTGCGCACACAGTCCATTGAACCTCATGGTGATTATTCCTTTAATGATTCAGAATGATTACAGCTGAACTCCCAGCACGTTGGGTGACAAAGGTATGCAGACATGAGAAACTTGGGAGAAACTCGTGGAAAAATGAGCTATGGCCACTAGAATGTTAATTAAATGCTGAAAATAAGCCCAAATGCTAAATACTGACTTCACTAAACCACAGGCTGGCTCTGGGTAATTCTAAAAAGGGCACAAGGACAGGACTTGACTGTAAGATTTTTAGGGTAACCGAAATAGTGCAGCAGTGAAGTGGCTTATTGGGCTTGAGACAGGGTGGGCGGTATCTGACCTGAGCCTGTTGGTGTAGGTGTCCACGCAGGTCTTCATCTTGGCCAGCAGCATCCCCACCGAGGTGGGGCTCCCGGAGTGCTCCTCCTCCTCCTCGCCCGGCTCCCCGGACAGCGGCAGCAGCAGCGGCACCAGGGCGGTGCAGGTGGAGACGGCCCGCAGCAGCTCCAGCAGGGCCCGGTACAGGGGCACGTGCCTCGCCATGTCCAGCACTGCCACGAGAGCACAGCACAGGCCACGTCAGGAGCCGGCAGCGTCCGGCGGTAGACACTCAGCTCTCAACTCACCCGCTGCGGAGGAACTACGGAGCACGGCTTGCTTAAGTAAAGATGGCGCAGCTGTTGCCACACGTGACCACATGCCATATGTCTATTTCCCTCTACATTTCTTGATGAGAAATTCGTTTCGAACATGCAGACCTTAGAAAGAGGGAGCCAGCACAGCCATGGCCGGTCGGTGCTGTTCCTCAACAGGGGGAAGTAAGACGCTGAATGTTGTAAAGTTAGATGATTATGTAACAACCAGCTCTGTGGAATAAATGATCACTAAAACACCACTGAAATGAACCTAAAAACCAAGTTACTGCCTACTTTGTATATTGCACATATCAGTGATTAAGACTTGTAACTTTACCTGGCCAGGCATGGACTATTTAAGAAAATGCACATTAAGGTTCCCTAATTTCCCTTATCTTGTTTCTGATGCATTTGCAATCCACACCAGACTATTTTACCTGATACCACAAGACAGTCCCTGTCTATTTTGTACGTTGTTTGCAGTTTGGGTCGGTCAGAAATCGAATCAACAATGCCCCATCTGACATCTCCTTGCTTTTTACAAACGGAGCACACAAGCATCAGCACCTGCTTCAAGCAGACTTTGTCAAGTTATCGAAGTCTAAAAACCCAGGTCATTTTTTCCAATTCATGGAACACTAGCTCCCTACACAGATGCTGGATTTTGTAACAGCTGAGAAGCTCTAAAGAGGAGCAAAGTGGTACAATAAACCAAGATGTGTTCCTTAGTTACAATTCTGTAAGCTTCACCTGCTTGCTTTACATTTATATTAGGATTTCAGCAGAAGGTTAGGTGCATCTCCACAATACCCCAACCTCCCCTTTAATCTGTATTCCAATCACTGTTTCCCTCTCCTTGAGAAACCAAGGAAGCCTTTAAACTCCTTATAAACTGAATACATTTGGGCAATTACTGCAAAATGACAGTAACATTTATGACTGATGCTGCAACATGTCTGACCGCATCTGCTCTTAATCCGTCTCAGCTGGGTCTGCTTGGGACTGGGGCAGGCACGTCTGGAGAAGTGCTTTCCAGCAGAATTGTGGGCTGGATATTCTCAATGTCAGACTTTACATTCTCCCACACGGTCACTTTGGCCATTTACTGTTATTTATTTAACCCAGTATTGCAACTTACAGAAGACGAGTCCGTGGGAGGAAAAAACATTTGTAACATAAAAAGGTTACAATTCATCAGGATTAGGAAAGCAACATCTCAGAAAAGTGTGCAATGTGTACCTGAGCAGAATGTGGTAATGTATTTACGGCAGTGAACCCAAACAGATCACTGCACATGTAGCTTACTTGAATAATATCCTAAATGTAAAAATATCCTAAGGAACTTACATCGATTTTTAATCCTGGACAAGAAAAGAAAAATGTAGGGAATGAAGATTTCAAAACTGTGTAAATGATGGATCTAGCAGAAGAGGATAAATTATAGATGTGACCTTCCCTTCCACGCTAACAGTTCTACCCCTGGACACTCCTTCAAGCAACAAAATAAAAACAGCCTTTAAATAAATGAACTAAAAGCTAGTCTTTTTCTGTCACACTGAAATAAGCAGGCTGGCTAGTGATGAATTGTGCACATACACACTGAAACTAAGCTACGCCAACTCCACCAGTATTCGAAAACTCAAATATTAATTGAACAGGACTGCAAGACACAATGCTATGGTGCAGAACCATAAATACACCGGAAAAAAAGAGAGAAAGGACAGGAAAAATAAAGAACTCAGATGTGGGAGATGACTACTGTGGGGCCACGCAGTTTAAAAGATAATTAATCTTATGGCCCTGACGCCATGAATGGGCCATCAATTCTGTAGCTGGACAGCATATCTATGCCATGTGGTCTTGTTCCCTCTTTCCCAAACAAGACAATAAAATGCAGGTCACAGAGGCAGCCGCACAAACAAGCAAGAGAAGCTTGTTGTGGGTGTGTGATGCACAGCACGCTCTGTTGCTTTGTGAGACATGCGAAATATTAGGAATTCACTTCCAAGGGTGAGAGAGCACTGAGAGAAAGAGAAAGCACTGATATACTGTCCCAGGCCCCATTCCCAAAGTCCAGCCACCACCAAGGACATAGAAAGTTGATTATCTTGGGCAGCAACAGCAAACTGCAGAAGAACAGTTTTCATATGACGCATTCCTGAAATCTTTTTCTCATGTTCTCATCTCAGCCCATCACTTATTGTGCTTTCTAAATCATGTTTGCCAGGAAATACCATCTGATTCCCTGCACAGTTGGCAGAATTTAAAAAACATTATTTTTCAATTGCATAGAAAATATAACTCCAAAAAAGGGAAAAGAATGGATTTTGAAATAAAATGGTTGTTGAAAAGCAGAAGGATGACTTTAAAGCACAATGTCTTGTTTGTGGATACAACAGATGTTTCTAACGACTGTAGACCTTTTTTTTTCCCTACTTGAAGTTCAAAGATGTACACTGACAATGCAACAAAAATAATTTGACATGGTAGTTCAATGTCTGTGCTGTCTAAGGGCATCATCTGCTGTAGGGTGGCAGCTTTGCTTTTACAGAGTGGGACTAGCTTAAAATGGAAAAGGTCATCAAATCTATGCTGTTTGACTAAGAGACACAGACAACCCGTTTCCATCACCTAAACAATTTTCCTGGTGGCTTTAAATGTCATAAAATGATTTTAATGATCGTTTCTCACGCACATATGTGTGGACATGCAGTACGCACATAGCATGCCAAGTATTACCAAGAAGGCTGTCAACACCTGTTACAACTTCTCTGTATCTACTCTATATAGTGTCACTGCCTCAGTAAATGTTTGAAATGGCCCAGTATCCAGGAACCCTTCCAGACTCTTTAAAGAGTACCAGATTGGTCTGTCAGGAAGCTGACATTGCAAGGGTTAAAACAAAATCAAAGCTGATAATGTACACTTGAACCTTTCTGGTTGTTTACAGCTTGATTCTGCAATGTACAGTGGGACACTCTACTGAAGAGGCTGAATCTTATTCAGTTTATAATGGTCATCATCAACAAGGATGGCATGTGGACTCTCTTCCACCCCGACTGCCCTGCGAAAGCCTGGGTCCCTAGTGGAGCAGAATCCCAGCACAGCTACTCCAAGAACCCAGCTGAGCTAAGGAGAGAATTATCTTCTGCTGTGCACTCCTGTACAAAGGGAACCACTGCTTGTTCAACTCAAATCTGAAACTGTCCTCCCAGAGATTTTTTCTTCTATTAAAGCTACAGTTATTTGCAGTTTGAAAAACTGAACCTAAGGCTTATGACCCTTCAATGAGAGAAGGCTTTAGAGTAACACTTTTGCATACATTACTGGAAGATTTACACAATCATGCCCGTCGTCTTTTGAACAACAGTAAAACAGGAACATCAATAATAAATGGCACTGACTTTACACAATAAATTAACGGCAGCTGTTAATGAACATACCTCTTTTAAAAGCAGGGTGATTGCAAGATCAGTCTGATGTTCTTAACGATTTTTTGCCTCCCTATGATATCCTAAAACACTCAGTCCAAGAATAGCTAGATCTAATGGTCCATTAAATAGGTAATATTGAGAAGCACTGAATTCTTTTTCCATATCATTTAACATCCTCAGTACAGCTTAATTGGATAAGAACGCCAATACCACTAAACTTAGCATGCGTTACTGGGAACTTAAATTATAATTTTCATCAACACTAGACATGTAGAACATATGCAGCAGGAATCTAAGCCTTTCTTTCCCTTGATATTGGCAAGTTAACTGACAATTTATGACTAAAAGCACTCTTAATGGCAACATGGTCTTCGTGAACAAGAATGATTTAACAAAGGCAAATTAAGAGTTTAAATTCTACCTATCTATTAACTGTAATTCCTTTTGGTCTTATAAGACCAATCAAATATTTCGCTTTTTAGACTATATATAACCATGGCGTACAGCCCTAGACTTTCCATTGTCAAGACAGTTCACTTAAGCTGTCACGATCTTAGAAGGCTAACCTGCAAAGGTCCTTAGTAAAAGACAATGGGATGGCACGTTGATGTATCAGGCCTGTGTATCACAGAGAAAATCCTTCCCTTTTCAACAGATTCCAGTGACGAATGTTGCTTTTCCAGAGAGCGGTGGTGATGACATGATGACATGCTGCCTCGATGGGGCCTCCTTTCTACTGCTTGTGTTCTGACCAGAGTCTCCACAGCCTAGCACTGCTCTGCCAAGTTGATTTATGCTGTTTACCACTTACTTCTGTTCTATATCAATGCGCTCCTAACATCCTGATACAAGGATCACTGCCATTTGCAAGTCAGCTCCACAGTACAGACGGGAAGTAAGTTGTTACTCTGGAAGCTTCAAGTGATATCAGACAGCCAACAGTGTGGACGGCAATATCTTCCCTAGCATAATGTTGACAGTCATAATGCAGGGAAAACCAATTCCCTGTGCAACGAGGTGATCACTGACTCATGTCAGTGTGTACTTTCCCCCTTCCCTGTGATCCAGCACCTCCACATAAAACCCAGGAGACGATGGATAAAAGTGAGGAAGTATAATTTGCAATTATTAGAATTGCGCAGCTTACTAAACGGGCTGCGAATGATTATTTTTCTAAATGGGTGATAAACCCACGAACTCAGCGAAAGCCTCTCATCTTTACTAATGCAAGATAGGAAACTGTTCTAACACATTTTACATGTAATCCTCCTCAAAGACTAAACATGTTAACAAAGGTGAAGCACTTTAACAGTTCCATAATCAGGTTGACTAAACTAATCACAGATGTTGTGATAAATTGATTAAAATTGCCCACATCATAATACCCATACTGTATATACAGTATTCAAATATCCATAAGTATAGCTATCCACACAAAAATCAAGAAATGGCACCTGTGCTTTCACAGATAATGTGCACATT